AATTTCAAATGTGGATCAGTGGCCTTTGAGTTGTTTCTTAACGGGAACATATGCTCCTATAGATCACATCATGCTGGGATGCACGCTGCCTTCGTCAGAATTAGACCAGCAGTGTGTCAGATAACACCTGAGCTACGGCGCACAGCCATCGACCGTCCTGAAATCTTCCATCAATAAAGTTTCTCTGATCGCGAGGCCACCTGGCTGCACATTTAATCCAATCTGCTGCTATTTCAGTCCACTGTCGGGATCCAGCGAGGAGCCGAGTGGAGGTGTGGTGTGTTGAATTTAACCAGACATCTCTGTGGATCTAGCTTTCTCTAAACAGGAGCTCATGGTCATTTCAATTCTAAAATAATAATCACTTGCTGGTTGCAAGTCCATGTCTTCCCGTACAAACAGACTCAAGTTTAGTTTCTTTCCCAGGGCCATATGTGCACTTAACACTGCCAATATTTAAGTTATCATGTCTTCCGTGCAATAATCATGTCTTCCGTGCAATATGAGGGGAATCGTGCAATTTAATTTATTACTTATTTATGTACATATTCCCTATCATGTCTATTTAAGTCCCATTTGTTGTTTTTATATTGTGTTGTTGTTGCGCGTTGGCACCTTGAGTTCATATTGTAATTTTTTTGTACTTGTAAAATGACAAATTAAAGATCTTATCTTATCTTGTATTGATTTTATCCGGAGGAGATTGTCTTATCTAAAATGTGATTAAAAGCTCTATTCGAATATTTGATATACGTACAGTTATGTTGTCTGTTATTGTCCGGTCGCCTAATTGCTTTGTTCTCACAGAATAATGCATAATTCACAGAAAGCAACGTATAGTTTTTATACATTCATAACCTCACTCCTCTGTACCTCTCCGACCTCCTGCACATCAACACACCCATCCGCACTCTCAGGTCTTCTGCTTCCCTCCACCTCACGGCACCCCCCTTCCATTTAACCACCATGTGGTATGGAGCTTTCAGCCGCTCTGCACCCCGCCTCTGGAACTCTCTCTCACCTGACATCCGCAACACTGGCTCTCTCCCCATTTTCAAATCACGTCTCAAATCACATCTCTTCACACTCGCATATCCACCCTGATCGTTATCCATCACACATCCTCTGTTTTATTTATTTGATTGATTTATATACTGCATTGTTTTGTTTATGTTTCTTATGCTGGTGTTATGTATTGTGTATCTTGTTTTTTATGTGTTTGTACGGCGACCTTGAGAGCCTTGAAAGGCGCCTATATAAAATAAATACATTATTATTATTATTATTATTATTAAAGCAGGTGGGATATTTGTGCATTTAGCAAAGACTTAAATAATAAAATGTATAATAAAAGGTGTTTAAAAATGTTTTACGAAATATTTGTTAGAAGTCTTGAGGCTGCGTTGCATACTTGTCTCCTAAAACTGTGCCTTTTGCACTTTTATACTCTTTAATATTAATGAACAATTTGGTAAAATCGAATAAGAAAAAAAGTCATGATCAATTTGATGGCTTGAACCAGAAAAATTAAACAACAAAGCACAGTTTATCACAAATCAAAGTGTTATGTTATATTTTCCCTTTAAGAATTCCTAATGGTTTCTGTAAATTGCTAAGGGGTGACAGATTAATCAACAATCTTTTTATTTAGTTTCGACAATCCATAAGTAGTGTTTGTCATACAATATATGCCAATATAAATGAGCCATTGGTCTGTTCTGATTGTATGTACAAAAGGAAAAACACAAACAAACAATAACAACGACTAAAGTAATCCCCTACGTTCACTTCCAGTGATCCTTATACACACGAATATATGCCAAATGTAACAAATCAATCACTTGCTTTTCATTCACAATCTAGATTCTAGTGTGACCAGTTAATGGACACATCTTCCAGTAAATGTCACAAAGCTGTGAACTGAGAAGTCTCTGCTCCATAGTTTCTCTCTTCACTGTACATGTTACATTTATATATTCAGTTTAATAACTTATATTCCATCTGTCACATACTTATGTATATATAATACCTTGCTTTATATCTTGCAATTGTTCATTTGTCAATTCAACCTGTATATTTTCTACTTTCTTGTTTATTTCTTTTCTTTTAATTTGTATTGTACAATGCCATGTCTTTTTACTGTATGCTGCTGCAACACAAACATTTCCCAAATTGGGATCAATCAAATCTTATCTAATCTTATCAAATCTTATCTGAACCCTCTCATCATGTGCTCTCATTGCATGGTGTCTCACCGTCAGCTGGTCGATGGGCTCCTGCAGCCAGAGGCGGATGAGCGTGGCCAGCGTGTAGTAGAGCAGCAGCAGCATGATGGGATTCACAAAGTGGAACCACTGACGCTCCGGGTGCACGATGAGCTTCCACGTGTGGGAGCAGTTGCTCTGGATAATGGGGGAGATGCCAAATACTCTGCAGAGACAGAAAGAGAAACACAGACAGACATATGAGGACTGGAACCATTGCCAGGATTTGAGTTATAACATCAGGAACTTTGAGTAAAAAGTGGCAAGAGACAACATTGTAATGACATGGAGATACAGTATAGAGAGACAAAGACGCTTCCTATTATCATCAAATGTCAATATAAACAGTACGTTTGACGTAAAGGTAAGGATGTGACTTCTCATCGGGAAAATACAACTTTATTGCCAGAAAATATGTCTGTGTGATTGAGCTGTAATAACTTAGTTTAATAAGTAAATCAACAGAAGATCAATCGCTTTACGATGGATTCATTTTTAATTCATGTGTTAAAGGTGGGGTAGGTCATTTTGGAGAAACCAGCTCGAGTGCGCTAGAATTTGAAAATACACAGCCGGAAAAAATCTGCCCCTTCCTTACAGAGCCCCTCCTCCAACACACACGAACACGCACATGACCAATGAGGGCACGAGATAAGTTTGTGCACAGATGGAAGGCTGACAGGCAGGTAGGCCATCCAGTTACTTTAGCCGGGCCGGCTAAAATGATTGGTCGTGCTTTTTACAGCGCCACGGGTTCCACAGATGAAATATTTGTATGTATTTATTGTCAAAGCATTTAATGTATTCATTGCTGTCGGGATGTTAAGAGCATTCCATGGAATATAACAAAAAGTGTTTCTGAAGTGAATTACCTACCCCACCTTTAATCATAATTGTTCATGCAAAAAGGCTAAATATTGGATAATGTTTGGTACTGAAGGTAACATGACCTGTTTATCTTGATCTAACATTATAATAAATGTAATATTTGTGGGGTTCGGACTTTTGGTTTGACAAAAACGATATTTGAATACGAAACAATTCACTGTAGGAGATTGTAAGGGTCATTTTCTAAATACATGGCAGAATAACTGATTAAAATAAAAAACAATGAATTGCAGTTACGATTGTTTGTCTACCAAAGTTTGACTGATTTTTTCTGATAAATGCTGGATACTTTCTCTTCTTCACGCCTTTAAATCTGAGATGGCAAACTGTGTCTTGGTTAACCTTAAACTGATGTTTTAGTTATGCCAGTTTTTTTGTTACTTTAATACGTTTTTTCTGCGGCACCTGTCCAAAGCAGTACATCTACATACTTACAACATTCTCGGCAACATTTAGATTATTGTTTTTACTCACTATTTTAACATGTATATGGTTTACTTCCTCTGCATTACTGCATAATCGTGCACTATTTTAATCTATTTTAAATGTGTTTGATTGTTTTATGTCTTATATATATTTATGTTGCATTGTTGGATGAGACAATAAAGCCTTTGAGTCTTTGCTTTACTTGCAAGCCATAACTCCTGTCTGCTTCTCCATTATCTACACACTGACTACGGATAAGTACCTTATACAACCCCACTTCTGCTATTCTATTGATGACATTCCTGTCAGTAAGATTTCCTTCCACTCTCTAACCTTGGAATCTAATCGAAATGCACTGACGCTAGACTTCTGTTTGTACCACAAAGGATGCTATATGATTCACTCCTCTTCCTCTGAGCAAAACAAAGACCCCGTACTGAACAGGAAGTCTGCTGACGTGTCCCAGTGACAGCCACATAGATTTAGACCAGGGGTGTCCAAACTTTTTTCACCGAGGGCCACATACAGAAACATATACGAAGGGCTCGGCCACTCACTAGAGGTGTATATCGCCTCATAAGTTCAGTTATAAGTTAGCAAAATCAATCACATGTAGGTAAATGATGCGTGTGAGTGTTTAGCTCATCCCTTAAAACAGAAGCCTCAGATTGATTATAATAACAGGGAATGTGAAGGGCGTATTTCAAGCTTGTTATGTAAATAAGTCATTATATTTAAGAAGTACAATATAAGACAAGCACAAGTTTCATTTGTGGGCCATATTCCATTATACTTTTTGAATTGGTCCGCGGGCCGCATTTCAGGGCCGGTTCTAGGGGGGGCCAGGGGGGCCAGTGCCCCCGTAACACTGACTTTGGACCCCCCTGTGGCCCCCATGAAAATGAAAAGTTTATGATTAAACAATTTCTTGGCTGACGGAATAGGCGGAACTAACGCTATTTGTCATTCTAGTCGGACCCATTAGAGCGTAAAGCTACCTATACTAACTCTAAGTATCTGAAATAAATATGTGTACCAATAACTGTATTGCATTGTTTTGTTATGCGCAATTACTTCATACTGTCTTTGTCTTTTTCGTCCTGCATTCATTGTGCCCCTCTCAGAAAATAACTGGCCCCAGCCTGGCCCCCCCAGTCAAATTGGTCTAGAACCGCCACTGCCGCATTTCACCCCCGGGCTGTAGTTTGGGCACCCCTGATCTAGACGCCTGCTGAGTCTGTCTCTCTCTCTGTGTGCCATGTGGAGGAGTGGACGCGCCCCTCTGACCCCATCACACTTCCTGACCGGTTTCTTGCTGCAGCCGAGAGGGAAAGCCCACTGGTCACATGACTGGGGACTTCCATTGTAAGGAGGAGAGGCAGGAAGTGGAGTGGAAGCCAGGCCTCTCAACAGCTTCACTCAACACCTGCCGACAGCAAGGCCGAGTTACTGTCAACAAGCACAATTAGGGCGGCACTGAGGGGGCCTATTGTCCAATCGCAGCTCCACGTATTTACAACCAGAAGAGTTTCCCTCAGACTGTCTGAATCTATCTGGGAGCATTTTATGGATTTTATGGTAAACAAGGATATGTCTTAAGCATCGGACAGCGAGGAAAAGTAACCTTTATTTATTTATACATTTAAATGTCCTATATTACCTGTATTTACTTGGACTTAAGTTTTGTATGTATTTGTCTCATTATTTGTACCATTGTTGTCACGAACATGGTTTAGTATTGTCATATTTTTTTTGTGTTGTTGTTGGTCTTTTTTAGTGTCTTTCAATGTGGATGCTCCATAAAGACAAAGGTTAAAAAAAGACTGTCTGAGGGTGGCAACAGGAAACAGGCAGAGTCAGAGGACAGTGGTGGGTAACTTCTTTCTTCAAAGTGGGCCTCAGTTTTCACACAGCGAGAGACAGAAATACCTCAACGCTGCGGAAAGTCAACATGAACACATGAGGATGGAAAAGGTGGCGTGTAATGAGCAATCAAAGAAGATTAGAGTCATGGTGTACTTCCCCAAATGTAGGGCACACTAAACTGTTTACTTAATGAAGCGATGTAGACGTTTAGGGTCTTAACTTTACTGATAATTCATTTTTCTTTTGTCATATTTACCCCATTAATGGTTCCCAACCTTCTGACCTCATAACCCTTTAACATGAAGTAATGTTCATCAGCGACTGAGTGTGATTACGGATTATGAGCTGCGTGTTTACCTTATTTTGGTCTCATTTCAGGATTTTTAGAGGAAGTGACTTTCTAGCATTTTACTTTCCAGAATTTTAAAGTCCCAAAATGATTAAAATGTACAGAATTTGCTCACTTTGGGCACTTATCGGGCCAAACGGGTAATAATAAATAGCATTTTACAAGCTTTAAGGATATTTCAGTCCCTGTAAAGGTCAAATAGAGCATCTTACAAGCTTTAAGTATTGTCAGAAGCCTGAAGAGGAAAGATATCCAGTATTTAATAACTTTTGAGAATCCTAAAAGCTCAAAAAGGTAAAAATGTCAGATCTTTAAAAGCCTTGAAGTGTAGTTTTTTGTATCTTTTTATAAGGTGACCCCTTGATTTGAAACTAGTTTTAAAATACTGCTGTCACTGTATAGAGAGGACAGCCTGCGCAGTTTAAACAAACTATTAATGACTGTGCCGATGGTGTGAGAGGGGTCCTTTCATTCTAATGAGTTTCCTAACAAGACGTCCATCAATACAGCGGTGTCTGTAATCACACCTTATCTGCCATCTGACCCAGGAGGAGGAGGATGGCAGGCAGCGAGCTTTGTTCAAGGCAGCCTCAGCTAAACATAGCTGTAAATAGCCTCGCTCCGGACACACAGCAGCACAGCTTTCAAATGAGAAACTGTGAGATCAATAAAACCCTGCAACACCAAGGGCAGCGAGACAATAGCCACTCTGAGACAATAGCTACTCTGAGGGGCGAGTTCACAAAAGAATTGTGCAGCTATTGTGGTCGCTAAACCTGTGCAAATAAAACAAAAGTAACTAGTTAGAGGCATCGTCACTCTCCGTTCAAACTCCTTTATTTGGGATGCAGTGACAGGCTGAACAAGACAGTTGTCATAAAGGAACAAAGCTCCACTACTTGTCATTTCTGAAAATAGATCAGCTAGAAAAACTTAAAATACGGTTATTATAGAATTGCATTGAAATGACAGAGCAGCAACATAGTACATCTCATGTATGTACTGTTTATTTATATTACATGCATGTGTTCAAGCTGTTTGCATCTGTTTGTATCTTTGTTTGGAAGGGATTTACTGTTTTACCTATTTGACGGTTCATCGTGAATAAGTACATATTATTCTTGTTGTCTCTTTGACAGCAGTTATGTCTTTGTCCTTTTTTACATTTTTGTATATTACATTTTACATCACTGAGTCATTTGATGCAGATTCAGAAGAAATGTAGATTAAATATTATCATGAGCTACCTTTAACCATAGTGTAACATTTAGAGGATTTTTGTTAATAAAGTGTTATGACTAATGTTGGCAATGTTTTGTTTAGTAAGATGCAAATGGGAACAACAGTATTAGTATTAATACGGACATATGATTTGAAATGATAAGAACTTGGTAGCATCTGTAAAAGCTGAATGATCCTCCTTTCAGATAATCTCTGTTTTGTTAATCATCCAGGGTGGTGGTCTTAATGTGTATTTTTGAGTAATTAGTAAATAAACAGCATTCTTAGCATTCCAGGTTGTCAGTCAGACAGAGTGAGCTTAGTGATGGAGGTTCTGCTACAGAGTTTGTATTCATTACAGCTGTGACTAACGCACGCTTGCAAGATGTGCAGCGCTGTGGCTGAACTCCAACCACCGCCTCACCACAGACAGCTGATTGTCTCCATCTCATGCATAATAAAACCTCCCTGGTTGAAGAGCCTACAAGCTCTGCTGCTGATATTGATGTGCTGTGATTAGGAGTTTGATATATCTGCCCTCCAGCTGGGTTTGCCTTTTTCTCTGCCTTCTTGTTTGTAACAATACTAAATATTTATTATCGTTTAAACAAACTTGCCTCGGGCTTTATAAATACATTCGAGTCAAAGGAGCTCTGGCCGTTGTCATGACATCGTTTTACTCTCACATTAGCACGGAGCATTAGTTTGAGCGTGTGCTGTTTAACTAAAGAACAATAAATCAAATAGACAGGCGAAGTAGCGCGTTACGTCCTTATATTGCAATTTGTGTCTAAATCGAGCCATCGCTCACTGTTGTTTGGGGGAAAGTTAGAATTTAGCTTTTAAAATGTATGACTCATCCCTTTCTGTTTGCAGACGTCAAATGATACACATCAAGATCTAATAACAAAGTTGTAACAAATTAAAGTATTTTTTGATTTAAACTGATAAAAAAAAGTATGTTTTTTAGTGTTTAAAACGAATCTCAAAAATGGCACAAGGTTCAAGATGTAATAACTTACACGGTCACATCGTCTGCAGGGATGGACTCCTGGAAGAACTGGAACTGGTAGAGGTAGAGGACGATGATGTGTCCGGCGCTGAAGATGGCCATGAGGACGCACATGCAGCTGAAGATGAGCGTGTCGAAGGTCCGGCAGAGAGACCACCAGGTGCAGAGGAAGAGGAAGATGAAGAAGTAAACAGCCGAAGTCAACGAGGGCAGCATGATACCTGCGAGAATAAACACATATCAGAAGGCTGATCAGGATGATTGTTATCACTCAGCATTTGTCATAAATACATCACAACACTTCAATGGTCTCAGGAGGTAAATTGTTGAATTTGAAAGATTGTGACTTAAATGTTGACGTCATTTCCTCACATGTAGTTCAGAAGACAGTTTGAGTTCGACTTGGAAATAAAATAAAAAATCTTTTCTCTCCAGACAGCAGTTTGAGACAGTAATCCACGCCTTCGTCACCACTCGGCTGGATTACTGTAACTCTCTCTACATGGGGGTCAGTGGGTCCTCCCTCGCTCGTCTGCAGCGGGTGCAAAATGCCGCAGCAAGGCTTTTAACTGGCACACGGACATACAGTATGACCACATGTCCCCCATTTTGGCTTCGCTCCACTGGCTGCCAATACATTTTAGGATTCATTTCAAAATCCTTTTATTTGCTTTTAAATCCCTAAATGGCATGACCCCACCATATCTTTCTGAGCTGCTACACCCTCACACGCCCAGCCGCCCTCTCAGGTCAGCGGATCAACTGCTCCTGAATGTGCCCAGAACCAAGTCAAAGCTCAGAGGGGGCCGTTGCTTCTCTGTAGCGGCTCCCACACTGTGGAACGATCTGCCCCTGCACATCAGACAGGCCTCCACACTGTGGAACGATCTGCCCATGCACATCAGACAGGCCTCCACACTGTGGAACGATCTGCCCATGCACATCAGACAGGCCTCCACACTGTGGAACGATCTGCCCCTGCACATCAGACAGGCCTCCACACTGTGGAACGATCTGCCCCTGCACATCAGACCGGCCTCCACACTGTGGAACGATCTGCCCATGCACATCAGACAGGCCTCCACACTGCCTGCTTTTAAATCACTTCTTAAAACCCACCTCTTCTCCTTAGCGTATTAACATCTTTTAGAGTGTTGCTTATATTGCTTTTCAATTGTCTATTGTTTTTAATTCTACTTGTTTTATGGTGTGTGAGCTGAGCTGTGTAACTTTTTGTATGTTTTGTTTATTGGACTGTACAGCACTTTGGTCTGGAGGTTAGTGCTCTATCAATAGAGCTGTATTGTATACTGTATTCTTCTCAAAATTGCATTTGTATTTTTTATAATTCCTTCAATCCTGTTTTTTTTTTTATCCTCAAAGCTCTTAGAATTATTTAAACAAAAAAGCATTCTTGTTATTCTAAATAAAACAACTTTGACATATTATAACGTTCAGACATATGGAACGTTTAAGGTCACACATTGGGTTATTTGACACACGTTTGGGAACCACCCCTAAAGAAGTGATTTGTGTTTCATAGCGCTGCTGATGAGAGCAAACAGCTGGGCCAACAGCTTGTGGATAAGCATTTGTAATTCTTAACTACAGTCTGCAAATCAAACCTGCACAAACAAAAATGGAAGCACACTTTGTGAATGTGATAATGTCATATTCATTTCTTAAATATTCCAATTGTAATGCTGTAAAGTAAAAGACACAGATTCACTCTTCCTCATCCACAGCCGCTCACCTGTCATGCCCAGCAGGATGGTGACCACCACCTTCCCTGCAGTCGTGATCAGGTTCCCGATAATATCCTTCACTTTGGACGCCACCTCCGCTACGTGCCGCAGGATCTTCCTCTTGGTGCTCTCCTTTGCTTCCTCCTCCTCTTCCTCCTCCTCCTCCTCCTCTTCCTCCTCCTCATCCTCTTCATCCTCCTCGGCCTCGTACCCCGCCTCGTAGTCTTCTTCCAGCAGGATGTTGTCGTCCAGGCTCAGCTTCTCCTCTTCTTCCTTTTAGGGGATGGGATTATAAAGTGACATTTCAGTATATGATTGATGGATGGTGCTGCTGGAGGTCAGAGCTCTCCATGGTGCTGAAAACTGTTTCCTACAGGTAGCACTTCTAGAACAATCCCTGTGCATACTAGGGCTGTCCCGAATACCATTTTTCGGGCTCCGGATATTCGGTAGTAATCGGCAGCGAATATTCGAATATTGGGTTGTTGCTTTGGAAACAACCTGACGGAGATTAACGGAGAAAAGTAATATCTACATATAAAGACGGAGAAAGTTAAGTGTTAGCACCCCCCGAACAAGCTCTTACGTTGATATTGGAGATTTCAATAAATTCAATTTGAGAAAAAAAAACGGGAAAAAAACGAAAAAACAAATAAAACGAATATCCGGATAACGAAATTGAAACCTGAATAGTACTCCAACTAACGAATATTCGGATATTCGGGTACAGCCCTAGTGCATACTCCAGTTGAGACATCTTTATTGACCCATAGCAGATGTTTTCCTCTGGAAACAGATGTGGGCTTGAGATACTGAGTCACTTCTTCCTTGGCGACTCTATCTAACCAACTATGTTTCGGTCTTTTCCTAAAGTCTCAATAAAAAAGGGACATAATAACAAGTGAGCCATAGATTGGGCTTCATATAGAAGACTGGCACACTAAGAAAGTAGCAGGTGGTACAAAGCCTGTTTTGAGTCAAACAACAACTTCAGCTCAGATGGATTTAAAAACCCGAGCACAACGCAGGCGCTATAGATGAATTCCTGGTGCTTCTCAGTAATGGGGAGCGCGGCCATCTGTGCCAGTGTTAGCAGCTCAGACGAAGAGAAGGTGAATGTGGATTTAATTAACACTGAGTCATAAAGAGAACGGAAGACTTGCCACGCGATGGGGGCTTTATTCCAAGTCATCAGCACTCGCTATTCAAACTCCTGCTCTGTTTAAGAAGCTCAACGTGGAAGCTACGTATCAAGCAGGAGTAAGTTGGCCACTTCAGTAAGTAAACAACTCTGATCAGTTATGTACAACACGATCATTGTGTTATTTACAATATCTTGTTTGTTATTCCGTTGATATTAAAGTGGTACATTTAGGAGAAATATTGTCATGACACCACATTTATCACTTCAGTGAGGATGTGCAACGCTATGGAAAATGTCATTATCCCACATCCATAGATTGTGTTGTTCCTGATGAGGACATCACCACAATTTACCTCATTCAAATCAGTATGTTTATTTTCTTCACAATAGTCTAAATTCCCAAAAAGTCTCCTCAGTATTTTCTAATTACTAGTATTGTAAAGTAGGCTATGTTCTGATTTGGTCATCGATTATATAAAAGAGAGAGCAGCATCTGAGGTGTGGTTAGCTTGCTTGTACATGTGTGACTTAATTTGCTTCAAGTTATCATAATTTGACTAGTTTGACACCCAAAAGGTATTTTTGTTTTTTTATTTTTGTGCCAAATGACACCAATAATAAGTCGCCATGCAGTCTCCTGAAAACATTTACATCTATAAATCTATATCATTTCATTGATTGATTTTATTATCAATTAATCCATCTTTATATTGTACTGGTTAAAAACGTGCACAAGTAAAACGTTTTCTTTTTTCTTTTTTAAGAAAACTGCTCTATAAGCTTGTCAACTTTTCCATTCTGCAGCTCCGGCCCCCCGTGTGAGACCCACTTGTTCCTCTGCTTCAAAGTCAGTGTTGTACTGGGCCATGTCCTCCGGCGGTCTCTTCTGGACCAGACTGCGGCACAGCAGCCAGATGGCCAGTCCGGCCACAAACATGCCGATGTCGGGGATGAACACTCGGATACCGTTCCCCGCATCTGCACCAATCACACTGTGGACAAACAGAAACCAGAAGGCATCACACTGACAGGAAGCTTGTGTCCTCAAAGTCAAATTTGAAACCCAATATTTTCCAAAAGTTGTCATCTGGGGCAATCATGCAGTCTACGATGGCAACCGAACGCTGGAAAATGGGACCGGGTACAACACAGTTAACTGTCCATGGACGATCACTTTTAATGTAAAACTGTTTTTGTAGGAAAACCTAAAACGTGTGGTTGCTTGTTGAGTTCACTTGGATGAGTACCATAAATATTTGTGCGGTCGTGTGTTTGTATCTTGGATAATCTTCTCATGTCATCTCCCTTCGTCTTTACTAAATCTTCATGTCACGATGATTATTTAAAATGCAGTTCAACAAGCTTGGAGAAGATATCTTGAGCATTACATGGGCAGACTGTTCTGAATTCAAACTCATGAGAATAAATATTATTACTGCAATTATCCTTCAGGAAACTCTACCTGTTCCCATGAGTGCCTGGGAATCTGGGTTTTCTTTCGTTAATCGACATTTATTTAAACATGTGTTAAATACTTCAGCTTTTATGTGGCGTACCACCCACTTTAATGAAATAAGCCATGCCTGTTTTAAACTTATTGTGAAATTCTATTCAAATAAAAAGGCCGTGAGAAAACTTGTTTACTCCCTTTGTTCATAATAAGGTGGTATGACCAATAAGCTATTTTCCCCATTAAACTGCGTCAAATAAATGAATTGAAACCAGATTTCGTGGGTTTCTAACAGTAAGCCAGAACCTATTGACTTATTCTTACATAAAAAGGACTGTGTACAGATAATAAAAATGTATAAATAATATTATATTTACCCCAGGTCTGGTCTAGTCTGGTCTAGGCCTGGTCTGGGTCTGGTGTGTGTGTGTTTCATTATTTGACTAAAATGTGACATTGTTTAATTTCCTGTGGAGATATCGCTGTGAGCAAACAAAGCTTTTGTAACATTTGTTAAACATGTGCTCACCTCCAACTAAATACCAGAGCGGTGATTCAAACAGGAAGCTACACAGTGGCAGCCAGCTGTTGCCATGACAGCCTCAGAAACGTCAGGCGGGATGTTTTGTTTTTTTGCCGCCTCAGGACGAGTTTTACGAGGTGTCATGATTGCATGTAGAATTAAAGCAAATAAAAAAATGTCCTTGAAATGGGTAGCAGGTTTCAAAACCTTTAAAAACTGACTTTAATCATCCTGTCTTCTATTTCAGTTTTACAACAATCTCCTGTGTTTGGCCACCAAAGGGTTTTCTTTACATGTGATGCTGAGCTCCAAGTGTAATTAAAGTGTTTTCGATTTTAACAAAACACTCTGTGGTGCAAGCTGCAGCGAAAAGCTGACCAAATGTTTGGATAAAGCTTTTCAGCAACTGGTCATTTCACACAGAAACAATCTCCTTCTGGTCTTCAATGGATATCAAGCTTATAAAAGTGACCAAGTTGAAAACTAATCAACGCAATGGAAACACTCAGATAAATAATTGGGACTGGCTGCTGCTGGCGAGTTCAATCTAATTAAGGACGTCTGTCTCCATGCGCGTTATTGTTACGAAAAAGCGTCAGAGCCAGACGAGGTTGAGCCAGGAACTTTAAGGACTTTTCCCCCGTTTGTGAGAAAATTACAATAACATTAGCAGAGCAAAGACCTGTCCTCACTGCCTCAGGCTGCAAGGGGAAAACACTCTTCAGGCATTGGCAAAAAAAACTACAAATACCCTAACACCAGGAAATATGTCCGAAATGATATAAATATTTGGTGTTTCTAAAGGATTTGAAAAGGTCAAGCTGGAGGAACTGAAGGATCTGTCTGGGTGAAAAGGCACACAAGCAGCTGCGAATGTTAAACTTTAGACTCCAGCAACTCTGCATTTTCCTCCATACTGGACGTGAAAGGGAAAGAGCAGCAGTAAATATATACTGTATATGATCCCTAACAAAAACAGGTAAATGCAGCCGGGATAAAATGTTTACGGCTCTACTTCCGCCACTTACAGTATACTATCCACCGAGGGCCGTTGAGTACTGGAAAGAGGATGTGGCCGAGTTTGGACATTCCCGTACTTAGGAAACCGCATCTAACACGATCACGGGGGTGCGAGGAGACAGAGACAGCGGCGAAAGCTTTGAAATATAGGTCTCTCTACTGATTGTCCGACGTAACTGGGTTTAGTGTTCATCAAGAATCCACAGAGGGACAGGTGAGGAGCGTTTTGAAACCTTGATGACGGGCCAGGGCGGCTAAATGTTAAAAGTGGTGTTTAATGTTATTGTGGGTTTGCTATAATAAGGACACTTTGCAGAGATGATGCAACCTCTTACAGGGGAAGAGAACCAGGACCTTTGACAGGTGGGATGAATATTTTGGCTAAGGCTTTGCTGATTCTGAAAAAATACATGTTACTGATTGTTATTACTGACCCTCCTGTCTCTATCAAAACAATCCTACCACGTCATCAAACACACAACTTGGAAAATGTACATAACACAACAAAAATCCAAACTTCTTCATCATTGTGTGCCTCATGTTCGTCAGGAGAAATGGGATTTACAGATCATTTAAAAAGGGATTTATTTTCTGTATCTCATCAAGCTTGCTATATGAATCATAAAATAAAATAAATATATTGATAAAATGTTAAACAGAATAATTCTTTAAGCTACACATGATATTTGAGTGAATGCAATTGTTGTGAAAGTCTTCATTTAATTCATAATGTTCTTACCTTTCAAAGCCAATTTGTCGTATGGATTTCTCCCACGTGGAACCTGGACAAAACATGAAGTCAGTTAGTAAATAGAAAACTAAAAATACACTTTAAATAACATTGGGTCATTTGTTTTTGTATCAGGATCTAGTGTGTAAAAGTTGTTTATTAGCCCCTGACCAAACCATTAATACATCTGCTTCTGCTTCAAAGGAGCCAGAAAATGTAATTCGCTTCAGCTGATAACTCATTTGCAGGAGAATGATTAATAATCTATCTGTTCTGAGGGAGAAATAAAAACATTTCATGAGAGCTTTGTTTCCACAGGACTGGTTGAAGTGTTCCTGAACGTCACTCAGCGCTCAGAGAGAGATTTCCAGGTATTCAGCCGGCACTCAGAGAACAACAGCCGAAGGTTGACTGGCCTTTGTTTTACCGCCAGAGGAAACACAACATCAGTTTGAAACTCGAGGATTTCAACTCAATGACATTTGGATGTATCCGGCTGTTTTGTTGGTGTATTAGGAGGCTAATTAGGAGCTGAGGATTCTGGTTTATGGAGCGCAGTGAAGGCTTTACAACACACGGCAGTAACTCAAAACAGACATCGGGAAAAATGCTACTTCATCTGACGTGTCACCTGTATGCAAACCATTTTCAGGAAGTTCTTTTTGGAGTAACAACAGCATGAAATGTTTAAATACACAGAGAGAAAAGAGAGAGAGGAAAACAGGTCTTTCTCCTAAATAGCCCAGAGTATCCAGTAAAGGAATGAGTCACAGCGTAGGCACGTCGTCAGGACCAGGAAACTGAATTCCACTCAAGGTGAATAAACGGTAATGGACTGTCAGTGCAAACCCCGGTGTTTCTTTATTACTCATCAGTGGATATTTAACATAGCTGCAGGAAATCCCAGCATCGCTATCACAGATGTTATGAGCTGTGTGGTTGGGCTGGAAGTAGAGGAAAAGAGTGCGGAGGATACCTACATTTCTAAAAAATAAATTAAGAAAACATCTGTGATGGGAGGGGCCCACATGACTAACCCCTGACATAACCTCTGACATCAAACACTTCCCCCGCAGACGTCCTCCTACTCAACTGTGAGAAACTGTCCTCCACCTCCACTACTCCCAGTTTAAACGTACTGATGGAGGACAGAGTGACCCGACTGCAACACAACACACACTGTGGGGAAATAAAACATCAAAACAGGACGATTTCTTCAAGCCTAGGTGGCTTCTTTTTTTTTTTTTAATGTAGTCCTTTCTCGCATATTTATAACAGAAAGATTGCTAAGTTGATTTTAATTTTGGTGTTTTTTCCCAAGAGAAGAAGGCTGTTTCTCATCACACCTCTATGTATGAAAACATATTTAGGGAAATATTTAATAGAAACTAAATGAATTTCCTTAATATAAACAAGCATGCTCTTTTTTTTGGCTTTTACTTAGTCCTCGTGGTTTAGACCAGGTCTAGACTGTGTCTAGTGGTTTCTTAAAGTAACCATTTACTCAGCATTTGAACTAACCACACTTTTGTTTTTGGAAAATGACGTTGTGTTTGATTAAAGTGGACTTTGGTGTGCTCCAATTTACTTTAAGAACCCTTTCAAAAGTGAATGACCACTGTTTAATCAAAACGACATAAAACAGTTACATTAAGCCACAATAAGAGTGTTTGTGAAGCTCCTACTGCATAAAAACATGCAACCAATAAAGGCACAGACGTCAAAAGCTTCTTAGTGCATAAGTGATGAAGTGGTGCAGGGTCGTCGAGGATGCATTTAAGAGATGGGAACTAAAGTCTCCAGAATTGGAAAATAAGGGACGGTTGTGCTGGGTTTATATTTATCTTGGGGCTCTGGATTTATTAACTGTGTCATTTATAAATAACCCTAACAGGAAGTGAGTAGAGTCGTGCCAGATACTTTTACAGGAGCAGATAAGGTCCACTGATGTTGTTGTAACTAATAAACACCCACAAAGGTCAATGATGACTTAATGCCTCATTAACATCTTCAAATATAAACTCTTCAGCTAGAAAGTCCAAACACACTCTCATACAGAAAGTCCAAACACACTCTCATACAGAAAGACATCTGCAACACCTAACTTCACGCAGCCCAAACTGAGC